CAAAGCCAAGTTTCATTGTCATGTTCATTGATGTGAAATAAGTTACTGTATTGTGATTGTTTGTTGACAAAATTTAATCATCATTTTCGTCATCGTCTTCCTCCTCATCCTCATCATGAAATACCATGTCGACAGCTTTTGTCTTTTTCTTGTCTTCAAGAATATAAATTTGATTCATATCAACGCCTAACTCTTTTGAAAAGTATTTAGCAACTTTTCCTGCAACGTTTCCTTGAATTTCAATGCTGAGTTCAGGTTTTTTTCACGATACTACATCCACAGGCAAACATTTTACCAAATTGTTTCACAACATCCTTCAAAACTTTTTCTTCTCCTTTGAAAGCATCTTGCATAAAAGCCTCAATTCCAGTAACCAGTGTTAAACGTTTTCTCTTACTTCTTTTATCGATACGAATGAGTAATTCTCTATTCTTTGAAACAGATGAAGTTTTTGAAGAATTATCATCGGAAGATCCAACACTTCCTTCCACAATTTCCTTCACTTCTCTTGCAACCTTCTTATCCACAGTTTTATCTTTATACTTGTCGTGTTCTCTCAATTCTCGCAATTCCTTCAACTTTTCAGGAAATGCTTCAAGCCACTTCTCACATAATGGCCATTTGTCAGAAAATTCGCAATAGTCGATTGGATAGGTACATTCGGGACAATAGGTAACTTTCTTTGCTTCAATTTTCTTGACTACAATTTCTTCAGTGCTCTCTTCATCATCACTTTCAGCAGCTTCCTCTTGTTCTTGTCTTTCTTTTTCGGTCTTTTCTAGATCTTCGGCAAGTACTTCAAGCTTGGTTTGCTTGTTTCGGTCAAACTTTTAATGGGTTTTTTTGGCTGGCATGATGATGTTGTGGTATTTTTCAATTAATTATGAATAAAATTAATAATTTTAATGGTTTCATCAACACACCTTGATGATGATACATGTAATTCAATGTTGATAGGAAGAAGAACGTTATGAGTAAAATTCATATTTACGACCATAAATAAATTGAATCCATCCAAAATAATTATTCTTCTCAAGGATCTTTTTACATCTCTCCGAGAGATGTCTGAATTCTTGTCTTCCTATAGAATCCTCCTCAGTGGCCAGTCCGCTCATTATTGGGTACAAAAAGGAAAAAATTGTCTCATTTCCTCCGTTATTATCTTTTTGCAATACCTTGAAAATCATCATCGCAACTTGTTGTTGTTGTTGCTGATCAGAATTTTCTCATCATTACCTTTACTACGATACAACATTAGTAAAAAGTGTTCGGGTTGGAATTTCTCAATTTTTGGTGTTGACTGCTCTCCTGTATCAATCATACTCACGTGCTTTCATCAATAGCTCATCATCATCGTAGGGTTTATATTGAATCACACTCTCAATAATTTCATTAACAACAACTCAAAACAAGATGGGTAATTGTAACAACACAAAACAATCCTCTTCCTCATCGTCCGCAAACAGACAACAAAACAAATTAAATGTACAGGGACATGGTGAAATTACGGAAACAAAAGTGACTTATAAAATTTTGATTCTCGGCGATGCAGGTAGGTGGAATGAATGGATAATTTTAAACGGTTGTGTACGATCATGGTGTTAAATTTGTGGTTGACTATCGATTATTGACACGGACTTCATATTGTGGTCACGAAAAACTATTCATCCATTATGATCCGAATATCCGTGATGCCAATGTGGAATGTGTGTGTGATCAATAGGTGTCGGAAAAACATCCTTGGCAATCAAGTGGGTGGATGGATCATTCCAAGAAAATTATATTGCAACCATTGGTGTGGATTTCAAAAAGAAAGATGTAGTGATTGATAATCAACTGATAAAGTTACAGATATGGGATACGTAAGTGTCAAATGGGCGGAATTGACAGATAACAGTTTGTGCTTGAACGAACATTTAACTCGCACGACGACTTGGTCACACGTCACTGTTGTCATGTTTTTAACACAAAGTGCTGGCCAAGAGAGATACAATACCATTCAAGCAACATATTATCGGTAGGTTTACCATCATTTCCATAACACACATAAATTCTCATTCTCCATTTCCTCATTAAATAGTGGATGTGCAGGTATTATCGTTGTTTATGATATAACTGATGCAGATTCATTCCAAAATGTGCAGAAATGGATTGGAAACGATGAAAAGAATACGTCTCCAAATGATGACATTACAATACTGTTGGTTGGAAATAAGGCAGATTTGGAGGATGAAAGAATGGTGAAAACTGAGGATGCCAACAATTTTTGTAAAAATACATCCTGCGTTGTTGACAAAGGTATGTAGAAGAAACAGCCATTGACATTCAACAATCATCGTACTTGTCAATCAACATGAATTCAACAACTTGTTCATTTTAATGACAATGAATAGTGTTTGAAGTGAGTGCAAAGTCAGGACTCAACGTAAAGTAAGTACCTTAGAAATGAAGTTTTTATTCACAATGTTGTCTTTTCATGTACAATCAATCAGCAATGCATTCATGGCCCTCGTGGAAGCAATTCACAACAAGAAAAAAAAAGAAATAAATTCATCCAAAGGACAATCAATTTTTCCTACTACGATTAATGTCTCTACGAATTCCCAAGTTAACTGTTGAAGTACAAGTATTAATTTGTCCATTACAACCCGAATCTGAATTTCCAGAGAACAGAGGAAAGTACTGTTGCAGAAGAACAAAAAAAATGATTCCACAACCATCCACAACCGTTCATCATACTTTGGATGATGAAAC